GTCACCGTAAGTCAGAACTGATTTGATGGCAATTGTTTGATCTGTATTTTTTGGTACCATGTTAGGACTCTAATTATTCCCAGATGGCATCTGGGAAACGCATTGGTTAAAATGCTTAGCTGCTGACTCGAAGGTGTGATTGGCATGGGAGAAAGATGGGGTTGTCTGCTTCTGTAAAGATGGCGAGCATGGAAGCCCTGTGGGGCAGTTCCACGCTCTCCTGTAGGGTTTCAAGGCGTACTCAGCAGCAATGGGTATAAGTCTCATTTGAAAGATAAGAAGATAAGACTTTGAGAGGCTGAGTAATTAGCCCAAGGTCAAGTCCATATAAGAAGTCCCTGAGTCAGAAATCAGATGTAGGCTTTCTCACTCCCAAGGTGTAGTTTGACCCAGCCACCCGACTCTATCTTTTGTTGTTGTTGTTGTTGTGAGGTGCCGTCAAGTCATTTCCAAGGCAAAGAGAGCCTGTGGGCAACAGAACGAAACACTGCCCCAGCCTGTACCACCCTCACAATTGCTCTCCTTGATCCCATCGTTGCAACCACGGTGTCCATCCATCTCACCAAGGGTCCTCCTCTTTCTCACTGCCCTTCGACTTTATGGAGCATAATGTCCTTTTCCAGGGACTGACCTCTCTTACTAACGTGTCCAAAGTTCATGAGATGAAGGAGCATTCTGGCTGTACTTCTTCTGAGACGTGTGTGTTCGCTTTCTGGCAATCCACAGTTCTTTCATTATTCTTTGCCAACACCCTACGGGCACCATTCTATATCAAAACTCAAACTCACTGCCATCGAGTTGAGTCAGACTCATAGCAACCCTATGGGACAGAGTGGAACTACCCCCTTCAAGTTTCCAAGACTACATCTTTATCGCAGTACATAGCTTTATCTTTCTCTAGTGGGTTTAAGCCACTGACTTTGTGCTTAGCCGCTCAATACTTCGCCCACTACACTACCAGAGCTCTTCATACTAAATAATGTGGTCACTGGTGTTCTCCCAATGGTTGAACTAATGACTGTGACCTCACCTCACCTCACGACACACTCACAGAAGGTGAGCACTCAGTACAAGTCACACTTCCAGACCCATGGGCCAACAAAGACCTCCGGTGGACTCTGCCCTCCTCCCTCCTCCGGCTCTGGACCTTCCACCCCTCCTTACTCCACACTTCTTTGGCTGTGATAGGGTGATGCTGAATGGTGGCTGCTGGGTACCATGGAATCTATTCCAACTCACACACAGCAACCCAGTGAGACAGAATAGAACTTCCCCATAGTGTTGTCTTGACAGAAGCTCTAGTGAGTCCTGGTGGTGTTGGGCTGCAATTGCATGGTTGGCAGTTCAATACCACCAGCAGCTCCGAAGGAGAAAGGCTGGGCTTTCTACTCCTGTCAACAGTTACCGTCTCAGAAACCCACATAGAGTCACCATTGACTCAGTGGCAGTGAGTTTAGTTTTGGTTGTGAAGATGCTGCTAGTGGACTTGAACCACTGACCTTTTGGTTAGCATTAGAGCACTGACCCACAGCACCACCAGGGCTCCTTGATGAAAATGATAGGATGATTAAAAGGTGAATGGGGTGAAAAAAGAGTCCGAAAACACCGAGATCTAGGCAAATCACATGGCAATCCACCTGGGGCCTTTTAGTTTCTAACAAGAACCTTGGTGGTGTAGTGGGTTATACATTGGACTGCTAACCACAAGGTCAGCAGTTCGAAGCCATCAGCCACTCCAAGGGAGAAAGATGATACTTGATACTCTTGTAAAGGGTTCCAGTCTCATACAGGGAATCCAGGGCAGATGATCCCTACAGGACCAGTGGTGTGAGTGGTGATACTGGGAGGGTAGAGGGAGAATGAGTTGGAAAGAGGGAACCGATTACAAGGAACTATATGTGACCTCCTCCCTGGGGGACGGACAACAGAAAAGTGGGTGAAGGGAGACGTCAGACAGGGCAAGATATGACAAAATAATAATTTATAAATTATCAAGGGCTCATGAGGGAGGGGGGAGCAGGAAGGGAGGGGGAAAATGAGGACCTAATGCCGGGGGCTTAAGTGGAGAGGAAATGTTTTGAGAATGATGAGGGCAATGAATGTACAAATGCGTTTTACACAATTGATGTGTGTATGGATTGTGATAAGAGTTGTCTGAGCCCCTAATAAATTGATTACCAAAAAAAAAAAAAAGAGTTCGAGTCTCAGAAACTGTTCTATAGGGTCGTTATCAGTTGGGATGGCATGGATGATAATTGGCTTGGTTTCAATATATTGAATATATTTTCCTTTTGAGCTTCCCCCTGCCCACTACCGCCACTACCATTTTTGACAGCAAAGCTTACTGATGTAGGGGTGATGGAGAGATGGAAACAGGCCCAACGTGTAACCCACTACAGCACCCCAGACTCCAAACCACACCGCTGCCATCAAGTCCATTGTGCACGCCTTCCCCCAAATTTAAAAGCAGCCCAAGCAGGGCAGGAGGAAACCCTACATTAACCGAGATCAAACTTTTTTTCCACCACAGTCAAATGGTAGCTTGAAATAGAAATTAGGCTGTTTTTAAAATACATGACATCTTGTTTTTCTTGTGCACTCAAACTTCTGGGCTGAGAGTCACACCTATGGCACATGTCCAGCTGAATTCATGCCAGGAGAGTGTCCGTGGAAGACTTACATCTCAAAAAGAACCTTGGAGAAGGATCGAGAGGAAGGGGTTACAGGCCCAGAGCAGAGTTGGAGATTTCTGGATAGCCAGAGGGCCAGCGATGCTTCCCGCCAAGTCAGCTGTATGAAAGGACAATTTGTCTCTTTATACACATCTCAGAACAGGGACATCCAACAATTTCGAAACACTTCTCCTTGGGGAAAGGGCCAAAAAGTTATATAAAGTTAAAGCCCCGTTTGCAGCCAAGGACCCAAAACTAACATTGAGCTCACAACGCGTGTGTTAGAAACCTTGTGTCCTGCAAACAGGCCATATCGCTGTGGCCTGCCCTCCTCTTCTGAGGGCACCCAGATACGCTCCTCTTTTCACTAATACCTTGAGAACCAAAACAAAGTCATGGCCAGTGAGGCTGTCCCGATTCACAGTGTCATATAGGACAGAGGGGAATTGCCCCATAGGGTTTCCAAGACTGTAAGCTTGATTGTCGTAGCCGGCCCCATCTTTCTCCCTGCAAGCAGCAGATGGATAGGAACCATCAATCTTTCAGCTAGCAGCCAGCCACAAGTGCTTAACTACTGCATCACCAGGGCTGCTTCTAACAAATTTGAAAACCCCAAATCCACTCATTTGAAGAGCCAAGAGGTGACTTGGAGGACTAAGGGGCGCCTGACTCAACCCGTGGTGTTTTCAATTGTCTCACAGGTATGTGAGACTGTGACAGTGAATCAGGGAGACCGAAGAAGAACCGGTGCATTTGGTTGTGGGGCTGGGGCAGAATATCGAAAGGACCATGGACTGCCAAAAGAACAGGCAGCTCTGCCTTGGGGGAAGTCCAGCCAGAGGGCACACAAGGAGGCCTCCAGCTGCTCTTGCAAGAAGGCACTTCATGCTGGGAATTCACTGCAATCATAGGTCGGCTTGGACCAGAGGGAGGACCCTGTAGCTGCTGCTGTTGTCTTTGAGTTCACACAGTAGAACTGCCCCCTAGGGTTTTCAGGACCTTGTCCTTGGGTAAATGCTGCTCTTCTGTTCTTAAATGATGGATTATTCCAACATGGAATGAGCTCAATTCTACCCCTGGGGGGTGACTAAGAGCCATAGGCAAGGGGGTGTCCCACCAGTCTCTATCCAACCAGCAAGCCTGGTCTCTTTTGTGATTTTGAGCTCTCATCCACAGTTTCCTCCCACTCCATGCAGGGGCTCCAAATGTGACCCTTTCCAGAGCAGTTGGCAGTGGCAGCTGGGCACCATCTACTTCTTCTGGTCTCAAGGTTGTGGAGACTGATGTTGCAGAAGCAGATCACCAGACCTATCCTGCCAGGATCCTCTGAGTGGGCTCAAACCATCAACTTTTAGTCTAGTGGTCAAGGCCTATAACCATTTGCACCACCCTGGGACTCCAGAGTCTAAAGCTATTCGGTCTGCTAACTTACGACCTCTGGAGCCTTGAGCCAAATGCTCTCTGGGCCTTGATGTCCTCATCTGTAAAACGGGGGTGATGTTAATGATGATGATGATGGTATGTAGTGCCCAACATGATAGGGTTAAACCAAACCAGGAAACCAGCACATGTAGAGCCCTTAAAATAGTGTTTGGGGCAGCGAGCCTTCAAAAAATGTTACCTGTGAGTATTTTTAAGAGAAAATGTTTTGTGCTTCCTTAGTAGTCAGGTTTTCCCTGTACCTCCTTCTCAGCTGCGGAAAACACAGTGAGAGATTCTTTCTCTTAAACAGTTTTACTGACATGTAATTCATGTCTCATACAATGCAATGGTTTAAATATATCTAAGAGAGTCAGCCATCCATCACGACAATCAATTTTAGAATATTTTCTGCTTTCTTGTACCCACCATTATTAGGTCCCCAAACCCACCACCACCACCAGCCTCCCCTATCATAACGCTAAGAGCTATTCATCAAGTGACTGTCTCTAGAGATTTACTTCTCCTGATTTTCATATAAAGAAAATCATACAAAACTGCTTCCAGCTTGTGAGAAGAGCTGTATGAGCCCCCAATAAAATGATCTTTTAAATTGCTTCCAGCAAGTCCATGCTAAGCACCAGCCAGCGGAACAAATTCTAAAGCATAAATCACCAATTCCCAAACTGTATTCTTTCAGGAACTATCTTCACCATTTTTTCAAAAACCATAGTCAAACACAGTCTTTACGTGTGAGTTCTTTTTAAGGACACTGACCATCTATTGGCTTGCATAAGCCCTATCTTTATACACTCCTCAGACTTTCTTCTTATGTAAATCAGCTTCCCACCATGTGTTTTAAAGGCCGCATCACATGCAACTAGTAAGATCAACAAGACCGGAAGTCTGGTGCTCGCTTCGGCACACATGTACTAAAATTAGAACGATACAGAGGTCAGCATGGCCCCTGCATAGGGAGGACACGCAAATCCGTGAAGACCGGTACTCTGATGTGTTCCCTGTGCTTTTCCTAATCCGCCACGTGGGCAAGAAAAACACCCATCCAACCACTGCTTACAGCTCCAGAAAGTCCCTCGTTGTTCCTGCATTAGCATTTCATTAGCTCTCGGCTGCATTTCTAAAGGTTTTGACATTAAGTTTCTCCACCCCAGTAATGTGAGCAAAGTCTTTTAGCTTCCACTTCACCCAGTTCAGCTGAAGACTGGAGCCACCAAGCCATTTTCCCAAGAGAACACGGCCACGCATGGTGGAAGGAATACTAAACAAGTAAACAAACCACACCAACAAATTCACTGCTGCCCAGTCGATTTCAGCTCATAGGAACCATGGAAGAGCGTGGCACTGCCCCTGTGGGTTTCCGAGACTGTGAATCGTTATGAGACCAGAAAGCCTCATCAGTCTTCCTTGGAGAGGCTGGTGGTTTCGAACTGCTGACCTTTCAGATAGCGTCCCAATATACAACCAGAGCTGCACGAGGGAACATGAGACGGTGCTTTTCTCACTATAAACATGGCTGCCTGCTTTCAGGTCCTGGGTGGTGCCCACGGTTGGCGGTTGGCTACAAACTGAAGGGTGGCGGTTCAAGCCCACCCAGTGCTGCCCCAGAAGAGAGGCCCGGGGATCCGCTTTCGTGGAGATTAGAGCAAAAACAACGCGGTGCAGCATTTCTCTGGAACTCGTGGGGGTGACGATGAGTCGGAATCGGCTCAAAGGCAACGGGCTTGGATTGGGGGTTTTCCGGTCGTCCTGCCAGCAGCCAGACAACAGCTTTTGCCAGAGCCCCTCGTCCAAGACCCCTGGTCTGGGGACTTTGAGCTCCTTCCTGTGATTCTTAAGCCCCTCCTCCTCTCACCTTGAATACGATGGCAGGCTTCCATGTAGAGCTAGAAGACATGATTTCTAAATGCCATGGCTTTCCGTTCACCATTTTTCCACATTGAGGAAGCACCATCTCTACTGGAAGCACCTTGCTTGCCCACCCTGAACAAGAGCAACGGCTGGGTTTTCCTGCCACCCTGCTTGTCACCCATCTTCTATCCAAGGATGAGCCAGATTCCCTCCCCCTGAAACAGGCAGAGCTGCCACACAGGGAGGCATCCGCCAGCACTTAGGACGGGCAGCTCAGCCCCACTGTTTCTTCTCTGAGTTTTTTTTCTCTTCCCTGTGTAGTATGGAGTGATATTCCAGCAATTCTTGACAGCATTAATTAATGTATGAGGAAGGAGAACAAATTAGCACTGTCTACCTCCACTGCTTGGTGGCAAGCATATTAATGTTCCTGAACACTGCATGATTAACGTCCGGCTCAATCTGGTAAATAACTCTTGAGGGCCGCAGGAGAACCACGTACATGAGTTCAATGTGACACAAGTTGGAGGAGGCGCCTGACAGCTCTCCTGTGACACAGTTGCATCTGTTCCATCTAAACTGAACTCACCGTCACGGAGCCCATTCTGACCCCCAGCGGCCCTCTGCCAGGGGTCTGAGGCTGTGCTCCACGTCCATTCCAGGACAGCCTCGTCTTTTTCCTGAGGAGCGCCTCGTGGTTTCGAAGCACTCACCACACGGTGAGCAGCTCAATGCTTATCTGACAGCACCGGCCCCCAAAGAAAACGCTTTCAATTCATGTTTCTCTAAGTGATACATCCTCAGTGGCAGCGATCTCCTTCCTAAGGAGACAAAAACCGGGTCTTAGGGGTCAAAGATACCTTAGCTGTTACCGTGTGTTGCAGCCCTCCAAAGCTGAGCCCTGCCCCACAAACACCCCACCCCCACCCCAACCCCCACCACCCCCACTCCCCGGTACTTCATTGCCTTCATCGTCGTTATGCGTGCCATTGACTAGATTCTGACGCACACAGACCTTGCATTCAACAGAAGAAACTCCCCTGGGCCAGCCTCCCCACAGCCAGGGCTACGTGTGAGCCCCTGTTCTCATTAGGGGAAATTTTCATTTCATTTAAATGTAAATGAATTCAAATCATTAATGTCATTTAATAATTTAGATTCTTGTCCCCCACGGAGGGAGTGAAATCATGAACGAAAGCTTGGGAAACACGGATCTTACATGAAACTAGACTCCCCGTGAGCCAGCAATTCGGCTTCCACCAAGTCTGCTTGAGAAAGAGACCCCCCACGGCGCGTGGCCTAGCTGTGGTTAACGCCTCATCGTTCTTAACAGTGAAACTAGCTGGCTGTCCATCAGGTGGGAATCGGAAAAACTACTGTGTCTCTGTCACCCTTGTTGGTTGGTGCCATCAAGTTGGTTCCAACTCACAGCCACCCCGTGGGACAGAGTAGGACTGCTCCTGTGGGTTTCTGAGACGGGGGATCGTTTTTAAACAGTCTCCTCTTTATCCCTCAGAGCAGCTGGTGGGTTTGAACTGTCAACCTTGCAATTAGCCCTCACTGTAAATCCCAGCCAGTAACCCACTACAACACTAGGGCTCATTAATATTAGGGGTGTGTGTGTGTGTCCAAAGTTAATTGTGCCAGCCTGGCCGATAATCACAT